ACAGAGCAAAACATCTCCACTAGGTAGGCTGGAATTCCTACATCTTCCATCACTGCATGGTTTCTGCAGGCTCAATTCATCTCCGAGCCGTACAGCATCTGCTCTGTCCTCTGCTAAGCCTAACAGAATCTTGCTCTGTTCATGTGCAGGCCAGACAAAGCCAAGGATCTGTAGGAAACCCCACACAACCTTCTGGGCCTAATCCCTCTTTGCAACTCCTCTCTTATACCTTGCCCTATGACCAGTCATTCAGCAGTTCACATCCCTGAACACTGAACACTTCCTCCCCAAATCAGCGAGACCTCTGTATTCTGCTTAGACTCTGCTTCCCTCCCAAGGTAAAATGTCCCTAGAGTGATAGAATGCTCATTCATGTGTTTTCCTTCTCCCAAGGATCAAAGCTCTATTCTGCCTATTTTCCAATGAATTGAAAACAGTTGCTTCACATTTGAGTTTCACTGACATTTATGATGGGAAAGATGGGACAGTATGTTAGTATCAGTCATTGTCATAGGAGAAAACCAATATGCACCTTTTCAAATACATATAATAAATCATAAAAAATGACCACATATCAGGCACAAGAAAACCTTAACAAATTCTAAAAAGTAGAAATATGACTGCCAACATTTGCTGATTATAGTTCAATAAAACCAGAAATAACAAAATACACCCTCACTGTTAAACAATTCTTGGTTCAATGAAGGAACTTAAACCAGAACTGAAATATGTAGAAAGCAAAACTGATGGAAGCATTATAGATCAGAATCCTGAGTAAGGAATAGGTAAGGCAATAATTGAAGAAAATTCATAGTTTTAAATATACTGTTGTTTAAAAAAAAGAAGAAAAGAGATAAAAGTTATGCATCTTACTTAAACACCTAGAAAAAGTGACCAAAAAAGAAAAAAAACCTAAACAAAACCACAAGAAATTAATGAATAGATAAAAGAAGAACTTGATTTTTTTTTAAGTAGGACTAAATAAGTAAATGCTCAAAACTGGTCCAAGGAATTACACACATGCACATAAACACACACAAGTAAAACCATTACCTTAACTATCCAATAAAAACATGAAAGTGAAAATACGTAAGATATATGGTAGTGGAGGGATAACTTCTGAAATCTAGGGAAAACAAAGAATTATGAAAACCTATTTTGTCCAACTGTATGACAGTGGATTTGAAAGTAGGTATAAAAACTTCCTAGAAAAATATAATTTATGAAAACTGACTCTATTAGAGATGAAAAAATGTTAAAAGACTTATTGTCGTAGAAATGGAGAATGGTGTCAAAGAGCTACCACTGTCACCATCCCTACTAGAAACAGCACCAGCCAAATAGCTTCACAAGTGAATTCTACTAAACTTTTAAAGAGTACATCATTTCAGTGATACTGGAAGAACTGTTCCAGAGCCAAAGAAAGAGAAAAACTTACTTAAAAAAAAAAAGAAGTAACATAGCATTAACACCAAAATCCAGCAAAGAATGTACTCCCCCAACCACCAAGGAAAGAAAAGGGAAGGAAGGAGGGACAAAAGAGGAGAGAGAGAGAGAAAGAGAGAGAGAGAGAGAGAGAGAGAGAGAGAGAGAGAGACTACAGATCAGTCACACTTACAAAGGGCAATGGAAAATCCTGAATAAAATATTAGTGAAGAACTTGAGTGGCATGGTTAAAGAACAATATATCACAATTAAGTATGGTTCCTGACTCAAACACTAGGATGGCTTAATTAGGTGATCTGTAAATCGTAATCCATCCCATGAATAACATTCAAGAAAACCATTTGCTCATTTCCATCAATGCCAAAAAAGTGTCTGACAAATCATGATTTATTTTTTATCACAAAAGGTAAAATTAAAATAGACCAGTGCTTCTTCAAATAGAAAAAAATATCTGAGGCAATACTACCATATCCTCTATCATATTCTCTTTGAATCTTGTAATTGGAGAAGAGGGAAAAAACAGAATTACAAAACCTGGAAAGAAAGACTATCATATTTGCAATGGTTATTATGTAACAGGAAAACTAAGGAGAATTACTTAGTAGCCACTATTACAGAAAACAATAATATGATACAAACTTCTTAAACAGAAATAAAAAACTTTCAAGCCCATACTACAGGATAAAAAATTGGAAGATATATTGACAGAAAATTCTATTTCTAATAGCAAGCAAAAAAGATGAAATACCTGGGAAGAGAGAAACTGAACAAAAAATGTGTAAGGCCTATATATAGAAAACTATAAACAGACACAATAGTATCTTGAACAAAGGAGAAGGCATAACATGCTCTTAGATCCAGATAAGCAATCTCACATGCACTAGTGGTGTCATAAATTGGCATATTGTTTAGAGCAGCTTGTCAATATCTGTAAAATTACAATTGCATATAAACCCCTTGATCCAGCAATTCTAACCCCAGGAATTTACCCTATATATAGCCCTGCTCCCATGTGAAAGTATGTGAAACAAATAAGATTATTTATTGAAGAACTGTAATTGCAGAAGTCTGGAGAGAACCCATACCTGCCAGAGCACTGCTAAATGACACTACCCCCATGAAACAGGACAGGACACTGCTGTATGGAAGGATAAAGATCTCTGTTATGTGCAAAAACTCCTCAAATGTTAACATTTATTACTGTTGGGAATAGGAAACACTTTTTTTAGGGAAGGAAAAAAATATTACCAACATTTAGGTGTAATGGCCACACCAGAAAAAGAACTCTCAATTCTTGAGAAAAAAATCAAAACAGAGACTTGATAACTGTTCAGTGACTGATCTTGTCCAAGTCTTACTTTCATGACAATTCAAATAGAAAGCTTTCATTTTATTAACATACACATGATTTTTAAAATGTTAACAATATTCCCAACTTGAACTACAATTCAATGTAATCCCAATCAAAGTCTCAGGAAGTTATTTTGGATATATTGAAAGTTTATATGGAGAGGAAAAGATCCAGAATACCCAACACAATACTGAAGAACAAGGCTGGAAGATTGATGATGTCCAACTTCAAGACTTACTATAAGGCTACAGTAATCAAGACAGTGCAGCACTGGTGAAATAATATAAGCAAATAGATCAATGGAACAGAACAGAGAGCCTAGAAACAATCTCACATAGTCAAATGATCTTTGACAAAGGAACAAAGGCAATACGATGGAGCAGAGATAGTCTCTTCAACAAATGGTGCTTGAACTGGACATCAACATCAAAAAAAAAAAGAAAGAAAGAAAAGAATTACATCACAGACCTTATATGCTTTACGAACTCAAAATGGATCATAGACCTAATTGTTAAGTGCAAAACTATAAAACTTCTAGAAGATAACACAGGAAAAAAAATAAATAACCTTGGGCATGGTGATGCCTTTTTAGATACAACACCAAAGACACAATCCATGAAAGAAACACTTGATAAAGTGAATTTAATTAACACTGAAAACTTCTATTCTGCAAAAGACAGTATCAAAAGAACTAGAAGACAAGTCACAGATTGGGAGAAAATATTTGCAAACACATCTGATAAGGGGTTGTTAACCAAAATACACAAAGAACCCTAAAAAGTCAACAGTAAGAAGACAACACAACTTAAAAATGGGCTAAAGACCTTAACAGACACCTCATCAGAAAAGATATACAAATGGCAAATAAGCATATGAAAAGATGCTCCACATCATATGCCATCATGGAAATGCAAACTAAAACTGAGACACCACTATATGCCTACTAGAAAGTCCAAATTCCAAAACACTGACACCAAATGCTGGCAAAGATGTTGAACAACAGGAATTCTCAAACACTTCTGTTGGAAATGCAAAGTGGTACAGCCACTATAGAAAACAGTTTGGCAGTTTCTTACGAAACTAAATAATTAGTATATGATTAGCAATCTTGCTGTATGGTATTTACCCAAGGGAGTGCAAAACTTATGTCCACACAAAAACCTGCATCTGGATGTTTACAGCAGCTTTATTCATAATGACTGAAACCAAAATCAAGCTGTTCTTCATTAGGGGAATGGAATAAACTGTGCATCCAGACAATGCAGTAGTATTCAACACTAGAAAGAAATAAGCTATCAAGACATGAAAACACACGGAGGATCCTGAAATGCATATTACTTAGTGAAAGGCTAATCTTGAAAGGCTACATACTGTATGATTCTAAATATATGACAGTCTGGAAACAGCAAAACTATGGAAATATTAAAAAGTTGCAGCAGCAGAGGGTAGGGAGATGAATAAGCACAGCACATAGTGAAAATACTCTGTGCAGTATTATAATAATAGATATGCATGTCATTATACATTTGTCCAAACACATAAAATATACAACATCAAGAGCAAACCCTGAAGCAAACTATGGGCTTTGGGTGATTATGCTGTGTCAATGTAAGTTTATCTTTGGTTAAAAAAAAAAAAGATGTTCCACTGCGGTGAGTGATGTTGGTAACAGGGCAGGCTGGGCATGTGTGGGAGTAAGGGTCATATGGGAAATCTCTGTACCTCCCTTTCAATTTGGTTTAAACCTAAAAGTGTTAGACTTATACAACTGAAGTCTAAACAAAAGTTTTTAATTTTAATATTACAGATATGAATAACATATAACACATAAAGCCACCCTCGACTCATCCAATCTCTTATTTCCAAGGTTCTTTCTGACCATGGTGTTTATTCTGTATGGCAGCAATAAGCCTACAATCAGGCAGTAACCTTGGTTTACACTTCTATTTCTTCATTTATGATATTTAAAAAGTGCCTACTGACTTTGTGCCATGAAGGAAAATGAATTAACTTATAGAAACTGTCACGATCTAACCACACTTTCCATTTTTGCTGATAATATTATTACTACTTATAGGTCCTAACATTTGTTTTCACTGGCCAACTTTAAATATTACTTCCTGACTCCCCACTATGTAAGATGAGCAAACTTACAAAAAAGTAAAATTCAACATAATTAAAGACAAATACTAAGAGCACTTACCTTGTTCATAAAGTAACTTCATATTCGAATCTTTGCAGGCAACCAGATTGTTAAGCAATGCAATCACACTTTGCATGGTGTTACCCAGAATGTTCTCCTGATGTTCCTGCAATAGGTCACAATTTTATCTTAACTTTACAGAAATACAATTACATCACAATAAAGACAAGTAAACAAATGACCTCCATCCTTTCCTCCTTTGAACTAGGTTAAATAATTATCTCTTTGCACTTTACCGTGTTAAGGCACTCACCATTAGTGAATTAAGTGAGCTGGGAGGCAGTGTAAGTTATGCTTAGCACCAGCTCTGCTGCATGCAGTCCCCCCTCCCTGCGAAAGAACCACAGAGCCTTCTGTGGCTTAGACAGGTGACTAAGGATCAGAATGACCTGAAGTCAAATATGTAGGACTTAGGAGACCACACCTAAAAGTGATTCTGAGATCACAAAAGAAAACTCCTTAAAGAAATACTTCTGCAGTTTCAAGAATAAGCTGGCACTGGTATTTTCCTACTTCAGTCTCATACCTTGATGGCTTTCTTGGGTATGACTCATTGTACCATTACCTCGGTGTGATCAACTATACTTGGGACCTAAAAGTGTGAGTTTTGCCTTCCCCATCACTTAACATCATACAGCAAGGAGCAACACTGGTCCTGAGAATGAGGAAAATGGTAATTCTTCTATCATAATTTCTCATTTTAAAAACAAAATAGGAGTGTCTTTGTAATGTTTAAGGCTTTCAAAATTAACTTTAGCTTTGTTTCTTTTTTCATGCCTCTAAATTTTTTTTAAATTACACAACTAATAAAGATTATAATTGAAACTATAAAATTTCAAATAACATAAGATCTTTAAGCTCCAGAACTAGGGTGAGGCAAGGTGGATGCATAGGATATACAAAAGTGGGCACTCATTGTCACATACATGCAAATGCAAGCACTCAACTTAGCGGAGTGCTTCCAGGCATACAGCTTGTCTCACTCCAGCCTTGACCTGGCCCCATGACCACTCTGTTAACACCTAATCCCATCCTAAAAACAGGGGTATCAATTTAGTAGGCTCCATCCAGACCTTTTCCTATGCATTAATTCATTCCCTCTCTCTCTCTCTCACACACACATGCAGAAATACGTTTTACTTTGTTTTTCAAACATATATTATATACTTTTTAATTCACTGAACAAAAAATTAATGATATCTGTTATGTACCAGACATTGTTCTAGGCACTTGAAGTATATCATTAACAAAACAAGGTTTCCTGTCTTCATGGAACAGACAACACAGGCATAATAATAAGTAAACTGCATAATGTTAGCAGATGATAAAAGCTATGGCAAAAAAGAGAAGAGTACATCAGGAAAGAAGAATGGAGAATTCAGCAGTGGGACTGTACATAATTTTAAATTGTGTGGTCAGACTGGGGCTGCTAAAGCATCTTAGAACTATATGGATTAATTTTTAATAAAATTTTCTTTTGTGATAAATTTGTATTTACAGAAGACTTACAAAGATAGTATAGAGAGTTTCCATACATTCACCCAGTTTTCCCTAATATTAACATCATGCCTAACCAGGGCACATTTATCAAAATGAATGAATGAATACTAGTGTAATACTAATAATTAAATTACAGACTATTCAAATTTTACCTTTTTCACTAATGTACTTTTCTGCTCCAGGATCCAATTCAAGATCCCATGTTGCATTTACAATTAATTCATTTTTGCAACAAATATTTACTAAGTGCCAACTGCTCTAAGTACTTGGTTTATATCAATGAACAAAACAGAATCCCCTTGTGGAGTTTACCTTGTAGCAGCAGCAGGAGAAGATAATAACAGAGTAAATAATTATGGGAAATGTTAAAAGATGATACACATTACAGGAGAAAACAGAACAGGACAAAGTGGTTTGGGAGTGCTGCAGGGAAGGCTGCAATTTTAAATAAGCAATGCATACCTCCTTGAGTGGGCACATTTGAGCAGATTTGCATTTATTCTTTTAATATACTATTAAGTTCTATTACTAATTTGTTTTAGGATAGTTTCATTAATGTTCTTAAATGTTATTGACCTATGGTGACACCCTCATTTGATATTAGTAGCAAGTTTGTGGTAGCCTTGTCTATCCACTTTATCCATGGATATTTATTGTGCATCTAATCTGTTTCTGGGAGATTTGGTATAAAATAACACAAATAAAAGCAGCTGGGCTTGGTGTATTTTTTCCTGGTAGATAGTCAAATATTTTTTGAAAAACATCTTCTATTCAAGAATCTTGACCCAATTTTATTTCCATTTCCCTAGAAAGTCATCTACAATACCAGTTTTTCAAACATGGTATAATAAAAGCATGCATGGCATTCTCATATCTTCACATATCTTCTCTGAACCAAATTACCTGCATCACCTTTTACATTGCTCTTCCCTCTTTCTTATTGATCCAACTCCCCAAAGCTTTGTCCACTTCATTGGTCTTTTCAAAGAATCAGCTTCCACTTTAATGATCAATCTCCATTTCTGGCTTTGAGTTAGTCATTACAAATGTACAGAAATTTTCTACCTCTCTCCTAGGTGTGCAGTGGGACCACATCTCCCTGCCCACTAATAATTAGAGATGACCATGAGACTTGCTCCAGCCAGTTAAACTCATCTGGGCAGAAGTTGTAAGGGCCAGTGAGAGCTTCAGGGAATCCTCTCTTTCCCTCTGCCCCTGTGGCCGGTGATGGTCCATATGGTAGAGGCTCCAACAGCCCAGGTCTCAAAGTGAAGTCATGCATCAACTGTCCAGGAATTCCTTGATGCTCACATGTTTTCAAAGCTTACAAAGATACCAACACTACATCTGGCTTGGAAACTGCTTTGTCAACAGATGTGCATGTCTCATGGATGAAAGCCACTGGATTTCACAAGTCTTACCATCTATGTCTTTGTTGACTACAAGACAAGGGGTTGCCTTCCCAGTACTAATGCCTGAAAATTTCTAACTTTCTTTACAAACACATGCTTAAGAGTGGATTTTAATGTTTGAAAGTTCAGAATGTTCAGTGACATCAGCTTTAAAAGATTAATGTGTAAATGATGGTCTGCCACCAATTTCATCCAATTATCCTTACAGTTGGTTGGAAGGTGAAGGTGGATGACTAGTGAGCACCAAGATGACACGACATGTTAGCCATGATAAAGAAACTGATAATTCATAGGAAACTTATTCTTGTGAAGAAAAGAGACACTAATAAATCTTTTTTGGGAGGGTCTCACTCAATAAAATAACACATACCACTCCTTACTCAAAGACCTGTTTGTCAGTAAATACAGGTCAGTCTTATTGGAGATAAAATTCCACTGTTCTCTCAATTTATACAGTTTTATGATTACACCTACTCTATGTTGCTGTTGGTTCATTGTGAAGTCAATACTTCAGTTTCTCCTTATGCTCACAGAGTGAGCAGAACATGCTGACACAAGGCTTTCCTTTAGTAAAAAAGCCACCTTTCCAAACTTCCATCACCTCTGAACCCTAAGAACACAGGATTGCACCCTGGTTCTGGGACTCCTAGCTTCAGGTTTCCAGAGTCACCACAAAATGAATGAAGGCCTGTGCCAGCCCCACCACTCAGTCTGCAAAGGGGCATACAGCCAATTATCAAAAGCCTCTGCTAACCTAAATCCCAGGAGTACTCAGGACAAAATATTTGATGCAGAGAATAAAAAAGAGACCCATTGTCCTATAATCAGACTGGGAGAAATGATTCCTTTTCTATTCTAGCCATGCTGTCTTTTAGTTTCTTTGCTGTTGATTTTCAGACCATTCACAGACTGTGAACTCTGTTCAATATAAAATGGATGCTCTATAATAATTGTATGGTAGAACTATATCTACTTATTCTTCCCTCTTGCAGGTATACATGCTTTTTACACAGTGTGGGGGAGGAAGACCTCAGAACAGTCACTGCCCCTGCTCAAGATGGCAAGGTGATTCTCCATAGGGATGGAGACAGCTACTGCTGTGGCCCAGGTCACCACTTCCCCAGAAAGAAGGCCAAATAGATGTGAAGCACAGTTGAGAAGGTGTAAATATGAATTAAGCACACTTTTATCAAATTGAGTTATTTCATTTTTTTTAGCAACTTTAATAAGATTTGTTCTTGCTATTCACAACCATATTAGCCTACAGGGGATAAATTACACATTGAAAAGCACCACATTTACTTCTCAAACTCAGCAAAGAGGATTATAAGAAGGGAGAAGCGAGGAGAGTTAACATGCGGAACCAGAGCTGCTCTTGGGCTCTCCGAGAGACCAGCATAAAGAAGGAAACACCACCAATTTGGTTTGCAGACCATGAGCCAGAGCTGGAGGGAAGGAGTGACCAATTAAAGACTGTGTCCCCATTCAATGTTCCCCTAGAACAGTCCCTCTCCCCAAAAGGGTCCCAGAGTGAAAGCACTAGAACAGCAGGCTAGGCAAATTCTTGATGTTGTTTTTATTATTTAAATCCCCATGGCTCATTAATAAAGCAAGGAGTATACACTGTTGGTGCCCAACACACCGCAGGAAAGCAGCGCAAGGAGACAGCAGCAACTCCTGACAGCAAGGCATTTTGCCCAGGGTTGGGGCCTGGCGCAGGCAGCTGCTGTGTTGGTCTTGGCAGGCAGGGCAGAGCAGCCGTGTGGGCCAGAGCCAGACAACGCCTTCCAGATGATTTGGTGATATGGTGCTCTGTGCCACGACCTGTACCCCAGCACTTTATCATCACATTTCATCCTTACAAAACACTGAAGAGGCTACATACAGTTCTGCCCATTTTACAGACAAGGACACTGAAGTTACCAAGGTGAAGCACAACTTGCCAAGGATCCCCCAGTTCTTGATGGTGACACTGGCATTTGATCTGTGGGATGGCAGAAGCCATGCCCCTAATCACCATGCAGCATTGTCTGGCAACCACAGGAACTGAGCAGAAGGGCCAAAGGAGGGGTATCAGAGTAACCAGATGACTCAACACCCCCCCCCAGGCAACCAGCACCACCCTGAACACCTATGAGGTTATCTGGGAGGACTTTAAAGGGGTCTGGAGCAGGCAGTGGAAAGAAGTTGAGAA